CTCCTACCTGTCTCCCCTGTGTCGAGGGACGGCAGCGCGCCGCTCCTCACTCCTCCTCATTTCCCCCGACGACTGCTCCCTTGCAGACGCTCCACATGGACGTGTGGGGCCCAGCCCGCGTCCGTGGTCAGGGTCAGGAGAGGTACTTCCTGATAGTTGTTGACGACTACTCGCGCTACACCACGATCTTCCCCTTGCGCACCAAGGGTGAGGTCCCAGATGTCTTGATCCCTTGGATCCGCAGAGCCCGTCTCTAGCTCAGCGAGCGTTTTCACTCGGACTTTCCTGTCCTACGCTTGCACTCTGATAGAGGTGGTGAGTTCTCCTCCGACCTCTTGGCAGCCTACTGTGCTGAGCACGGCATTGAGCAGTCATTCACGCTTCCGGCCTCTCCACAGCAGAATGGGGTTGCGGAGCGCCGCATTGGCCTGGTCATGGAGGTCGCCCGTACCTCCTTGATCCATGCGGCTGCCCCCCACCTTCTGTAGCCGTTTGCAGTCCGGTACGCTGCGCATCAGCTCAACCTCTGGCCCCGTGTCTCCTTACCGGAGACCTCGCCCACGCTGCTGTGGACGGGGGAGGTGATGCGTCACGTTTCCGGGTCTGGGGATCTCGAGCTTTTGTCGGCGATACGTCTGCGGACAAGCTCTCCTCCTGTGCTGTTCCCTACGTCTTCCTCGGCTTTGTCCCGAACGCGTCTGGTTGGCAGTTTTACCACGCCACCTCGCGCCGAGTCTTGCCCTCTCAGGACGTCACTTTTGACGAGTCCGTCCCCTACTACCGCCTCTTCCCCTACCGCACTGCCTCGCTCCCCCCCCCGCCTCTCTTCCTCGCGCCAGGTGCTGCTGTTGCAGACCCCCTCCCCCCTCAGGGTGCCGCCCCCTTAGGTGTGTCTCAGGTAGACCCGGTTGAGCCCGTTGAGGTAGCTGTCGACTCTCGTCTTGCTGGGGGTGCTGAGCCTGGGGGTGCTGAGCCTGGGGGTGTGGAGCCTGGGGGTGTGGAGCCTGGGGGTGTGGAGCCTGGGGGTGTGGAGCCTGGGGGTGCTGAGCCTGGGGGTGCTGAGCTTGGGGGTGCCGAGCTGCAGAGTTCGGAGTCTGGGGGTTCTGGGTCTAGAGGTACTGGACCTGGGAGTTCTACACCAGGAGGAGCCCTCTCCTCGGAGCAGCTGCGTGAGTGGTACCTTCAGTACTGCAGCGTCAGGAGAGGTGCCACTCGAGCCCGGCGTGCTGCTGGGACTAGTGCTAGTACTTCTCCTCCCAGTCGGGAGCTCCCCTCCCGTGAGCGGATCCGTGAGTGGTACGAGCGGCGCTGCACTCTTTGGAGTGGCGTGCCTCGTGTTGCGGACCCCGCTGCCGTGGGCACTACTGCTGGTGCTGCGGACCCGGGTGTTGGAGCTGCTGCTGGTGCTACGGACCCGGGTGTTGGAGCTGCTACTCTTGCTGAGGACCCAGGTGTTGGACCTGCTGCTAGAGCTGCGGACCCGGGTGTTGGAGCTGCTCCTCGTGCTGCGGACCCGAGTGTTGGAGCTGCTGCTGGTGCTGAGGACCCGGGTGTTGGAGCTGCTGCTGGTGCTGCGGACCCGAGTGTTGGAGCTGCTGCTGGTGCTGCGGACCCGAGCGTTGGAGCTGCTGCTGGTGCTGAGGACCCAGGTGTTGGAGCTGCTGCTGGTGTTGCGGACCCTGGTGCGGGTGTCCCTGCTGGTTCTGGTGTCACTGCACGGCCACGGCCGTACTTCGTTCCGCTCCTTCAGCAGGTTCTTGGTCCGCTCCCTCCTCCTTGTCCTCCTCCCTCCTTAGCGTGTCCTCCGTCTCTCCAGCTGCAGTCGCAGTTGCCGTCTGCCTCCTCTCTCCCTGGTCTTGCTCCTTACACTGGTCCGACTGGAGGTCTTACTGAGCGTCGTGAGCCTGAGTCTCGTCCTGCGTCGCCTGAGTCTCGTTCTGAGTCGCCTGTCCGCCCTGCTCTCTCTAGTAGTCGTGTCCAGAGTCAGCGTCTTCCTGCTGTCCCACGCACTCACCGGATGGCGCTTCGTCCGTCCACTGCTCCACAGCGTGTCCCTCTACCATCTCCTCCTGCTTCCTCTCTTCTTGTTCTTGTTGACCCTACGTCAGACTCTCTTCGTGCTGCCAGTCCTACTGTCACGCGTCTCCTGGCTACTGTTGTCACTGACCCTTCCTTTGAGTCTGCTGGTGCATCTACCTTAGTTGCTGAGCTTGTCGACTTTGCTGCCACCTGTCGTATAGACTACGCTGCTAGCCTAGTTGCTGAGTCTGAGTCTGTCTGTCCTCCGTCTGTCTAGGGTGAGTGTGCTCTTGGCACTGGCGTCCTTGAGGACAGGCAGGAGGAGTTTGAGTGCTTTGCTGCCGCTTTGCCCCATCTCGTGTCCATGCTTGTTGCCCCTGAGGGAGACCCGGATGCACCAGACATCCCGACCCCACGCTCTTACGCAGAGGCGATGGCCGTTCCCTACTCCTCTCAGTGGCAGACAGCCATGGACACAGAGATGACTTCCTGGAAGTCCACAGGCACCTACGTCGACGAGGTTCCCCCACCTGGGGCGAACATCGTCAGTGGCATGTGGATTTTCAAGGTGAAGCGGCCGCCGAGCTCTCCGCCTGTCTTCAAGGCGCGTTACGTTGCACGAGGCTTCAGTCAGCGAGAGGGAGTTGACTTCTTCCAGACCTTCTCCCCGACCCCAAAGATGACCACTCTTCGGGTTCTGCTGCACGTCGCCGCTCAGCGTGACTACGAGCTCCACTCGCTTGACTTCAGCGCTGCTTTCCTACACGGCAGCCTGCACGAGGAGATCTGGGTGCGCCGTCCACCTGGCTTCACTGGGTCGTTCCCTCCTGGTACCCAGTGGAGCCTTCGACGGCCAGTCTACGGTCTTTGCTAGGCGCCTCGTGAGTGGCACGACACACTGAGGACTACGCTTGCGGCTCTTCGGTTCGCGCCTTCTACTGCTGACCCGTCGCTGTTTCTACGCACCGGCACCTCACTGCCGCCGTTCTACGTCCTTGTGTACGTCGACGACTTGGTCTTTGCTACTGTTGACACTGTGGCACTCGCCCACGTGAAGTCGGAGCTGCAGAAGAGACACACGTGCACAGACCTGGGTGAACTGACAAGCTATCTTGGCTTGCGGATCACCCGGGACAGAGCACGCCACACCATCACCTTGACTCAGTCACACATGGTGCAGCAGGTCCTTCAGCGCTTCCGCTTCACGTACTCCTCGCCTCAGCCCACTCCTGTGCCTACCGGTCACTCGCTCTCACCTCTGCCTTTGGATGAGTCCGTAGAGTCGAGTGGCCCGTATCCAGAGCTTGTGGGTTGCCTCATGTACCTGATGACCTGCACTCGACCTGACCTTGCATACCCTCTCAGCATTCTTGCACGCTATGTCGCTCTCGGCCGTCACCAGAAGGAGCACATGGATGCAGCTAAGAGGGTGTTGTGCTACTTGTGCAGTACGCCGGGCATGGGGCTAGTGCTTGGAGGGCGAGTCCCAGTTGTTCTCACTGGGCACTCGGACGCTTCTTGGACAGACGACCAGGCTACTTAGCGGTCGTCTCAGGGTTACTTCTTCAGTCTTGGCTCTGGATCTGTTTCTTGGCGTTCTACTCGCTCTTCTTCTGTTCTCAGCTCCAGTTGTGAGGCTGAGATCTACGCCACAGCCATGGCGGCTCAAGAGCTACGCAGGCTCACCTACTTGCTGACCGACCTCGGAGAGCAGCCTCATTCTCCTCCAGTGCTGTACGTCGACAACAAGGCAGCCATTGCCTTGTGTGAGGAGCACAGAATGGAGCACAGAACGAAGCACATTGCTCTGCGTTACTTCCTTGCTAGAGAGCTGCAGCAGCGTGGTCAGCTTCGCTTGCGTTACGTGGCCTCTAAGGCCAACACTGCTGATGTGATCACCTAGGCGCTTTAGCCTTGTGACCATCAGCGCTTTTGCACTCTTCTAGGCCTTGTGCCTACTGGACCTCACTTGCTTACTTCTTGAGTCTGTTTGTACTGTGATCTCTATATATATATACCTGCATGTTTACTCTTGCTAGGTTGTGATCATTGTACCTCTTGTTCTCTTATAAACCTGCATGTGAACTGGTCTTGTGACCACTTGCTTGTGCTCGGAATTTGTGCGGTATCCTTGAGATCCACCCTGAGCTTGTTTTGCCTTGCTTTGCCTTGACTGGTCTTGTGACCCCTAGTTCTCCCCCATTTCGCCTATGGGGGTGTGTCAAACATTATATATGTTGTGTTTGTTTAGGCTACAGTGGGTTAGCCTATAGGGGGTACACAATTCTAGGGTTAGGTACTTGTACTCGTTTCACTGCTAGTTCATTCATTCCCGTTCAGTTATTCCAACAAAGTGCACCAAGAGCATCAAAGCACACGAGAGAGAACAGGTAGCAACTACAATGAAAGGGGAGGGGGGGGGGGGGGGGGGGGGAGGTACCATTAACATTTTGAAGCTGCCCAAGAGTGATGAGGAACAGGTTGGTGATGCGGTTCCTTTGCACCGCCGCGAAGTTGCTGTGGTCGCGCGTCCGATGATTGCTGGAGCACACCCCGCACGAGTGTGCCGAGATGTTCACCAGGATGTGCTCTTGGACGTTAGGCACCCAGATCACGGCAGGGATGGCCTCGAAGAGTGGGTCGTTGGGAGGTGCGACTGACATGCCGAGCATCTGTGGGAGGAAAGACTCTTCATAGGGGTCAAAAATTTTGTGAAAGAACAAAAGGTCACCAATCCACCTGGCTCCGTTCGATGCACTTGACAGGAGGAGGGAGCGAAGCGTTTGGACCGCAAAGCCCACGGGCACATTGCACAACACCAGCACTGTTTCACCGCGGGCCTTTGCCGCAGAGAAGTCGGGAGCGAGATCCTGGTAGACCTTGATCTCCGCGGTCGGCCCTTCGGACGAGCGGTAGGTGATTGGCATTAGCTGCTTGAAACGGTTCGCGTCATCAGCCGACGGCCACTGGAGCATATGACGTCAGTACGAGCGACAAGAGAGGTGCAGAATCTTGCCTCCAGAAGCCTCGAAGACAAGGACACGGCCACCAGCAAAGTCGCGGCCACGCAGAATCGGGTTAGGATCTGACTACGATGCGCTTCCAGAGCCTTAGGGAACAAGAGCACAACAGCAGCATCAGTGTCACGGACCAGAGCCGCAACAACAACTCCCACATTCTCACGGTTGCGCCGGAGGCGCTGATACCGGCTGGTGATGGCGAGGGCAACCACAGGATTAGCTTCCTGGGTTAACGTTGAAGGAGCAGGCGCAGCCGTGGAAGGACCAGCTACGGGAGCCATGACTGGAGTGACAGGCGGCACCACCGAAGCTGCAGGGGGAGCCACAAGCGCAGAGCTGGATGAACCGGCAGCACAGACGCGCTTCGCGGGCGGAGGAGCAGAGACAGCGGGAGTGACTGCTTCCTCGGCGAAGGAGTCGACCGAGAACGAGGCGTTAAGCTCCTCCTCTCCCATAAGTTCGTCGGGGTTGTGCTGGGAACCCATTATGCCAGGTGGTAAGGACGAACTATCATGGTACGTTGATTTGTAGCACGGAAACGCGATTTGGCGAGGAAGGGGTGAGAGAGTTGGTCCGACGAACCGCGGCCAAACTGGGACACAAAATGTTCTGAATTCACGAGCGAAAAAGGTGTGGCTTTGGCAATGGCCTCGACTCACGGTAACCAGCAAGGATCCAGCGAGGAATCGCGGATTCGCAAAGCATGCAAGGAAAGAATCGGCAGAAGGACCCGTCGTCACAGCGCAATGTGTCACCGTACCAAACTTGCATGAGTTAGAACAGATGTGGAGAGAACGAAGCTTGCCATGAAGGGTTTTCCAGAGGACGTAAAACCTCACAAGAGGCCAAACCCGAAGAGCAAGGAGGCAGTGAGCGTCCTCAGGAGAGGCTTCAGAGGGAGCGTTCTGCAAATGTCACGGCAAAAAGAAAGGATGTGGAAACCACCAGGGAACCAAACGAGACTGAGCCACTCAAAGCCGGACAGCACAAACCGGTAGGACCGAGCATAAACCAGCAAAACCACTTGAGGTAGCCAGGACCTAACCAGCAAGAACACCACAAAAACCGAAGCACAGAGCAAACAGAGAGCACACGCAATACAACAACCATAGGAAAAGTTGAACTCACCTACCACGGTACAAACCTGGAAGAGCAATAGCCAAGGGACGATGAACCTAACATGCAGGCTGACGCGGCAACTTAATAGAGGGTGAGGAAGCTGGAATTCCGAGGTCGAGGGAGGCGAAGAGCAATCGACATTGTGTGCTGTGAAGGGAAGGGAAGGGATTCGTGCAGGTCAGCAAAAGTGTGCTCCCCACCACTAATGCAAGAAGAGAAATGCTCATTGAGAAAACTAGAACGAGAAATGAATGGACTATAAAACAGTTGGGTACAAGTACAAAACCTAGAAAGGTGTACCCCATATGTGCTGCCCCACTATAGCCTACAGCAGCTATGTCATATATGAATCTGACACACCCCCATAGGCAAAGTGGGGGAGAACAAGGGGTCGCAAGACCAGTCAAGCAAAGTAAAGCAAGCTCAGGGTGGATCACAAAGTCACCACACATTCCGAGCACAAGTTCAAGGCCACAAGGCCAATTCACATGCAGGAGTACATACATATAAAAGGCTAGACAAGTAAGAGCAGGTGTATGTATATATATGTAACAGTACAAACAAGGTCAAGAGGTGAGGAAGTGAGGCAAGGCAGGCACAAGACCCAGCTGAGTATAGAAGGGCTGATGATCACAAGGCGCAAGCGCCTTGGTGAAGATATCAGCAGTGTTGGCCTCAGAGGCCACGTATGCAAGGCGCAGCTGACCACGCTACTGAAACTCACGAGCAAGAAAGTAGCGGAGAGCAATGTGCTTCGTTCTGTACTCCAGTCTCTGGTTCCGACACAAGGCCAGCATGGCCTTGTTGTCTACGTATAGCACTGGAGGAGAACGGGGCGTAAATCTCCGAGGTCAGTCAGCAGGTAGGTGAGCCAGCGAAGCTCCTGTGCAGCCATGGCTCCTGCGTAGATCTCAGCCTCACAACTGGAGCCGAGAACAGAAGACGAGCGAGTAGCCCGCCACGAAACAGAGCCGGAACTAGGGCTGAAGGTGTAACCCTGTGACGACCGCTGCGTAGCCTGGTCATCAGCCCAAGAAGCGTCTGCGTGTCCAATGAGGACCACTGGACTCTGCCCTCCAAGCACAAGCCCTATGCCCGACGTACTGCACAAGTAGTGCAACACCCTCTTCGCTGCAGCCATGTGCTCCGGTCTGTGTCTCCCACGAGCAACATAGCGTGCGAGAATGCTAAGAGGGTATGCAAGGTCAGGTCGTGTGCAGGTCATCAGGTACATGAGGCAGCCAACAAGCTCTCGGTGCGGGCGACTCGGCTCTACGGACTCATCCGAAGGCAGAGCTGAGAGCGAGTGGCGAGTAGGCAGAGGAGTGGCCTGAGGCGAGGAGTACGTGAAGCCGAAGCGCTGAAGGACCTGCTGCACCATGTGTGACTGAGTCAGGGTAATGGTGCGGCGTGCTCTGTCCCGGGTGATCTGCAAGCCAAGGTAGCTGCGCAGTTCACCCAGGTCTGTACACGTGTGTCTCTTTTGCAGCTCAGACTTCACGTGGGCGAGTCCAGCAGTGTCAGCTGTGGCAAAGACCAAGTCGTCGACGTACACGAGGATGTAGAATGGCGGCAAAGAGGTGTCGTTGTGCAGAAACAGCGACGGGTCGGCAGTAGAGGGAGCAAACCCAAGAGCCGCAAGTGTAGTCCTCAGTGTGTCGTGCCACTCACGCGGTGCCTAGCGGAGACCGTAGACTGGCCGCCGGAGGCTCCACTGGGTGCCAGGAGGAAAAGTCCCAGTGAAGCCAGGTGGGCGGCGTAGCCAGATCTCCTCGTGGAGGCTGCCCTACAAGAAAGCAGTGCTGAAGTCAAGAGAGTGTAGCTCGTAGTCACGGTGAGCAGCTATGTGCAGCAGCACCCGAAGAGTGGTCATCTTCGGGGTGGGAGAGAAGGTCTGAAAGTAGTCAGCTCCCTGCCGTTGACTGAAGCCACGAGCCACATAATGCGCCTTGAAGATAGGCGGAGAGCCCGGTGGCCGCTTCACCCTCAAAATCCACATGCCATTGACGATGTTCGCCCCAGGAGGGGGAACGTCGTCAACGTAGGTGCCTGTGGACTTCCAGGAAGCCATCTCTGCATCCATAGCTGCCTGCCACTGAGAGGAGTAGGGACCCTCTATCGCCTCCGCGTAAGAGTGCAGAGTCGGGATGTCAAGTGCATCCGGGTCTCTCTCAGGGGTAAGCAGTACGGACACGAGATGAGGTGAAGCAGCAGCCAAGCACTGGAACTCCTCCTGCCTGTCCTCAAAGACGTCCGTGCCAAGGGCACACTCACCCCCGACGGACGGAGGACAGACAGACTCAGACTCAGCAACAAGACTGGTAGCGTAGTCTAGGCGACAGCGAGCAGCAAATTCGATGAGCTCAGCAACTAAGGCAGACGCAACAGTGGACTCGAAGGAAGGGTCAGTGACAACAGTAGCAAGGAGACGCGTGACAGTAGGACTGGCAGCACGAAGAGAGTCCGACTCGGGGTCGGCAAGAGCAGGAAGAGAAGACTAAGAAGGAGAAGGCAAAGGGGCACGCAGAGGAGCAGCGGACGGACGTAGAGACATCCGGTGCGTGCCAGGGACAGGAGGAGGACGCTGACACAGTAGGAACAGCACCAGTACACCCAGTGGTAGCACCAGCGCGTGTAGCAACTCCATCTCCAGCAGCACCTGTAGCACCCCCAAAAGGACCGCCTCCAGGACCGACAGAAGTAGCCTCAGCGCCAACACCCTCATCAGCTCCAGCTCCAGTCGTACCTGCAGGCCCAGCAGCTCTAGTACTCCCTGTACGAGCACCTCCGGGACCCGCGGCACCAGCACCCTCAGCAGCACGCCTCCAGCGCCAGGCAAACCACTCGCGCAACTCCTGTGGAGAGAGTGGCTCCCGCCGAGATGAAGCACCCGGAGAACCGCCAGGCACAGCACCACCAGACGCCAGACGAGCAGGCCCAGCTCCCTCAGGCTCCGCACCCCCAGGCTCAGCACCTCTAGGCGAAGGACCCCCATGCTGAGCACCCCCAGGCGTAGCACCCCCAGGCTCAGCACCCCCAGGCTCAGCACCCCCAGACTCAGCACCCCCAGGCTCAGCACCCCTAGACTCAGCACCCCCAGGCTCAGCACCCCCAGGCGTAGTACCCACACGCTCAGCACCCCCAGAGTCAGCACCCCCAGGCTCAGCACCCTCAGCAGCACCAGAGTCACCAGCGACCTTGACAGTCTTAACTGCGTCTATCTGGGACACACCTGAAGGGGCAGGACCCTGAGGGGGAAGGGGGTCTACCGGGGGGGGACCTGGCTCAAGGAAGAGCGGTGGGGGGGGGAGGGACGGAGTGCGGTAGGGGAAGAGACGGTAGTAGGGGACCGACTCATCAATCATGACGTCCTGGGAGGACAGAACACGGCGAGAGGTGGGGTGGTAGAACCGCCACCCTGGCGCGTCAAGGGGGAAGCCAAGGGAGGCGCAAGGAGCAACACGAGGGGACAGCTTGTCCGCAGATAAGTCGCGGACAAACGCCCGAGATCCCCAGACACGGAACGCAGACGCATCGCCAACCTTCCCCATCCACAGCAAAGCTGGGGAGGTCTCCGGCATGGAGACCGTGGGCTGAAGGTTGATCTAATGCGCCGCGTACCGAACCGCAAACGGCCACAGAAAATGGGGGGCAGCCGCATGCATCATGGACGTACGGGCGACGTCCATGACCATGCCAATGCGGCGCTCAGCAATCCCATTTTGCTGTGGAGAGTCCGGAAGCGTGAAGGTCTGGCGGATGCCTCGTGCACGACAGTAGGCTCGCAGAAGGCCAGAGGAAAACTCTCCACCTCTGTCAGAGTGCAGACGCAGAACAGGAAAGTCCGAGCCGAAGCTCTGCCTGAGCTGGAGACGAGCTGTGCAGATCCAGTCGATCAACACCTCAGTGACATCACCTTTGCTGCGCAAGGGGAAGACTGTGGTGTAATGCGAGTAGTCGTCAACCACCACCAAGAAGTAGCGCTCGTAACCCTGTCCACCGACGCGGGCTGGGCCCCACACGTCCATGTGAAGCGTCTGCAGCGGGGCCTCTGTCGGAGGAAACTGGGAGGAGTGAGGGGCAGCCCGCTGCCACCCCGGCCCCGGAGACGCCGGTAGGGCCAGGCCCCGGAGGAAGGGGAGGGAGGGACCGGGGAAGACCAGAGACAAGGACACGAGAGGCCATGCTTTGGAGACAAAGCAGGGAGGGGTGACACAGGCGGTGGTGCCAGAGGAGATTCTCGTGAGACAGGAGGCGACACGAGCAGGGGTCAGACTCAGGACCAGACCTGGACGCTGCAGCAAACACCTGACTCGGCGCAGCTACCTGACCAGAC